CGATCACGCTCCCTCCCTCCCTCCCTCCCTGTGCCCCCCCTCGCAGCTTCTAAGAGCGCTTCCACACCCCCGGCCCCTAAACCATTGCTCGCCAAGGACAACACGCGAAGCGCTTTGCCCCACCCGCTGGCAAAGGCCCTCCCAATCTCCCACGCCCCCTGTGCCCCCAGACCGTTACCTGCCAGATTCAACCTCTGTAATTTGGCACACGCGCCGCTGGATGCAAAGGCGGAGAGGAGGGCTTGAGCTCCGGCGCTGTGAGAGGTAAGACATGAATACGCAAATCAGTTTACATCGACTCGTTTCTGTACCCTTCCCAGGGCCTGCTTAAGTGTTCATCACCTTCGTCCCGACAACCAAAGAAAATCTTTGCTCACGCACCTGTGTAAATCGTTGTAGGACATGTCCAGGGTCAGGAGGGAGGGGCAAGCGCCAGAAGCAAAGGCAGCTGCCAATGCCGCCGCCCCAATGGCGGACGCCCACACGTTCCCTAGGAGCAAGTGCTGCAGGCGAGGCAAGCGGGGAAGAAAGGAAGGGGGAGGGACGACTTCGGCCATTCTCCCCTCTTCATCCCCTTCCTCCCTCCTTTCCTCCCTCCCTCCCTCCCTCCCTTTCTCCAACAGCCTGGCAAAGGCGACAAGGCCGGGCGCATACAGCCGGTTGCGGGACAGATCAAGGGAGGTCAAGCCATCGCACGCCCCAGATTCGAATGTAACGAGGAGGGAGGAGAAGCCGATCGGACCAATCTGGCAGTTGGCAAGGTGTAGCATGACAAGGCGTGAAGAGGAGGAGGAGGGCTGCTTCCCGGCGAGGGAAAGAAGGGCTTGCGCGAGAAGTCGGGCACCCGGGTCGCCCAGTGGATTGTCTGATAGACTCAGAATGCGGAGGGAGGCGAATCGGGGGAGCCGGGGATAGACGAGGCTGGGGTGGGGAGGATACGAAACCACACAAAAAAAGGATGGATGAGTAGAGGCGAGTGAAAAATGTGTGGAGAATAATAACGGCTAGGAACGGCCATGAAAACATTTGGTGTGCACGCATACGCCCTCCCCCCGTCGTACTGTAAGTGTTTGAATTTTATGCCGTAGATGACGAGACAATCCCGAAGCGAGAAGGACGCAGCCACCCGGCAGGTACTGGCTGTGGACAAGGCTCCGTGCACGGTCAGGAAGGAAAGCATGGTCTGTCCTATCAAGTCGTCCACGCCAACATGATGGAAGAGAGGAATAAGGCACCCTCCTCCAACAAATTGTAGTCCGCGACCATGAAGTTTTTGAGGTGGCGGGATGGAAAAGGAGAAGAAGGAGGAGGTAGACGCTAGGGATGCCGCGGAGAAATGAGTATAGGATGTGTCCATGGGAAAAGCGACCCTTTCTGTTTTCTGTGCAGAGAGAGAAAAAGTGGCGCACATTGTTGTCCAGGTGGAATAAAATTAAGGTTTTCGTATTTTGGCCCCTCTTTCCACACTAAAGAATGTATTGCAACGCGCGTGTCTAAATAGTAGGACACTGAGCAGTCAACAGAAATACAGCCTTACCCATATGTAAAGGAAATCTAAAGTATATGGAACTTTCGGTGTACAACGGATTTGCGTTTCTCTATGAGAGCGTGCATGCCGCAGACGTGGAGAAAAGGGGCGAACAAAGGGCTACCCAATTACACTGCCGAATGATGCCAGGGCCGTCATATTACGGTGTCCCCAATAAATTTACCTTGCTCACGCCTCCAAACATACTCTTTATGTTCATACATACCCATAAATGACGGTGGTACCAAGGATAGGATGCAAATTGGCGTAACATCGAGGGCAGAAGCGGGCCGAAAGCAACGTACTCACGTGGATATGGGCCATGGAGCTTTCAAGGAAGAAAAGAGTGGCTAAGCGGCCGGCGAGGCCCGAGTGAAAACGCAAAGGCCCGAAAAGACGCCTCTGTGGGGCCATGGCGACTTTTTAGGAATGATATACGGTTGGTTTGATTGAAGTTGGCGCGCTATGGGCATGGAATCTTTGTCTTATACATCCTGTCTGGTCTGTCCCTCCTATCGTGCCGTCGTCCTCATCGCTCTGTTGAAGGACCTCTCTGGCGCCCTTCAACATCAACCAACGCACTTTCGCACCTCTTATTAACCATACGTGTATCCGTAGATGCATTTAATGCCCGGTAAGCGTGGCATCGGCAGCCGCCACCGCAACGACAGCCGTTGTCGGCATCGCTTTTGCCTTCAAAAGGACCTTCCTGGCTCCATCCTCCTCCTTCACCTCCTCTTGTGCCTCACCACCACCTCATTGCCCATGCTCGTTCACGCCTTCCCCTTCCATCCTGCGTCTGCTTCACGTCTTTTCCAGCGAGCAACCTTACGGGCGCGGTACTGGGCGCCTTGGTCCGCATCGACCCGTCCATTGACCCCAGCTTTTTCTTTTCCCCCTGGGGGTTACGCAGGACGAGGTGGGGCAAAAGGACGGGCAGGAGGCAACGACAAGGGAAAAGACGGGGGGAAAGGGGGAAGAGAAGGAGGATATGCCTATTCTGGACGAGCACCGAGGGGTGGTGGGCGGGAGGATGGACACGAGGCGGGAAACGGCGGACGCCGGGAGGGAGGAAGGTCTGAACGGGGGAGAGAGAAGGGGGGATATGAAGGGGGGAGAAACGCAGAGTTCGGAGGTCGAGGAGGAAGGGGAGGAGGAAGAGGAGGAGGGAAGGA